TCATGCTTAAGTACAGTACAGTACAGTAATATGTATGTGTCATACATTAGCCTCCATCCATAGTCTCAAAAATTTCTGTAAAATGAAAATGTTTTATAATGAAATTTACTTTTTATTATAGGTGCAGTGTGAAGTAAGATACAGTAAAGCACTAGGATACGATAACTAAAAGTACCTGCATAAAGCAAACTAAAGGCTCTTGATATACATTTTACTTGATAAGCTTTAGCATTATGTATGACCTCATTTATAATTTTCTTTTTTACTGCTGTAGAGTTTCACATTCAAGAAATCTTTATGGGTATAATTTTTCTTTGCAGAGCTCCTTTATTTCCTACATATGCTACAGAAACTCAAATATAATTTTCTATACTCTTCTCTAACTGAATATATATTTAGAAGTATTCATGCTTACATTCAAAGTTAAATGTCTGATATTTTATGTGCACATCATTCTTCTGTATTTGTAATTAGAAAATGTCATTATAAAGAGTTTATAGAAAGAAATTAACATTAGATTGAATACATTTTTATAGATGGTTTTAGAGATTTCCTGCTATTAATCAGCTGAAATACATGCTACTTCTACTCTATAATTGTTACTTTTTTGGTATGTTTGTACCCATGTACAAAAACTTGAAGGACTAAACCATTATGATGTAAATAATGAGTTCAATTTTGGTTTGTTTAAGGAATCCTCAAAGTTTTTAAACTTTTGCCGTCCATTAGCGACAAATAAAAGAAAATGAACTCATTTATGATTATTATTGCAGTACCAGTCACTGAATCTTTGTTTTACAGGACATAACCATGTTACATACTGAGAGGAATGAATATATTTTTTTGAAGTGTGTGAGATGTATAAATGTGGATGGACTGAGTGCATTTATTCTTTTGGAATAAGATTGGGTACAGAAAGAAGTGGTGCCTGCATGTTTGTGTAAGTGTGAATGTGTCAGTGCTGGTATATATGTGGGTATGTGTAATATGTGCATGTACATTTGCTCCCAAAAGTATCTTTAAAATAAGTGTTGTAGAGTCTGAAACAATATAAAATATTTGATCATTTGCCTACCATTTTACTGCCACCACATATGTCAAACATCATCCAGTGCTTCAGGTTGTACAGCACATTGTTTTAAATATACTTTTAAGATGTGTCTATGTACAGTATATACTTGTTTACAAGTCTTGGCATTAGAAAAAAAAAATGTTCTTGTGTTAATGGGTCATTCTTTTAAATGAACTGATTAATCTTATTTATTTTGATCAGGAAAATGGATGATGTTAAATACCAGGTATTTTGTTCCTCAGTATTAGAAAACAAGATAAATTTCAATGCCAAAAAGTAGAATTTCATGTGTTAATGTGCGTGTATATGTCTGTCTGTTCTGTCTGTCTGTCTTAATGTGCACATACAGTATATTGTATGCTGATCTAAACAAATAATTATGTGTGATACAGAATGAAATACTTGTAAAAAGTTTATTGATATGAAAATATTTAATACTACATTCAGTTAGTAATGACTTTGTATATGAATTGTATACTCAAAATGATGCCAGTTATCATATCAACACATATTTGCTATGGATTTCATTGACAATACCATGATTTGTGTGTGTAGTAATTTTAATAAATCTTCATTATGAAAAATATTTTTTCCAGTTAGTATTTGAAATTGTTTACCATGAATGATGTAGATAAAAGGAAATTCACAGCTCTATATGGGTTTTGTTAATATACTGGCAGCCATTACATGTTACAGAGATTCTTGTTTTATATCAGGCATTGTGTATAATCAAATTTGAACATCATGTTTGTGGCCCTTCCAAGTTATGCAGTCCTATAATTGAACTAGAAAAGAGTGGTAATTAATGTATCCCTCTGTTTTATCCTCATTTCCTCGGATTTGTGGTGAACCTGTATATTCTTCAAGAACTGTCAGTGGAAAATGAATGTGTATATTTGTTACCAAGTCAGCTGTCATTACAAAGTTTTATACCTTCTCATGCCAACAATATTATGTTTTTTGCTCAAGCAGCTTTGGTGAGAATCATGTCTTTGTAATATATATATATATACATAAAGACTTTTTCATTTTTTGTAATGTGAAATATCTGTTGATGTTTGTAATAGTTGAAAGATAAAAAATGTTACCTGAAAAGGTGAGTTTTTATTCATTCTTTGGATGTGGTTCACAGAAATATTGTTTGTTATTCAAATTATTGATATTGAATATTTTTGTATAATTTGAAAAAAGTATATATTTCTTCTTCTTCTTCTTCTTCTTCTTCGTCTTCTAGCTTACAAATACTGCATTATATACAGTATATTGTTGATTCTAACTACTGTTTTTTACCCGTCTATTTACTATGTTATTGATTCTAACTTGTACTTTCTACCATTATTTTTGCTCTGAATGATTCTAGCTTTTACTTTCTTCCTGTATTTTCCTATTAGTGATTTTAACTTGTAATATTTTCCTTTGTCTCTCTCTTTGGTTACTAGAAAAAAGTAAAAAGATTTTGACATGTCATCTGCATAAGACCCCCTTAAGAACTTGATTTAGTTAATTTTAGGTCTTACCTATATAAATCTAGATGAACTGTATTCAGTGCGATAAATTAAGAAAAGGTATGAATGGGAATAAATATCTTCACAGTACAAGAAATGTATTTGATCAGTTTCGATTCTATCTTTGTCAAAGATACATGTATTTCTGACGAAGACATAATTGAAACTGGTCAAATACATCTTTGGTTTGCGAAGATATTCATTCTCATTCATACCTTTTCTACAGTAATCAAGATTTTTAAAAAGTAGTTTTGTTTCTGCTAAAAAGGCAAAGTTGCTTGTCAGACATTGGCTGTTTTTTTTTGTTTTTTTTTTTACATTTTTATACTGTTAGTATGCTGTCTGCACTTCTGTTATGTCTTTTGAAATTTATTGAAAGGATTGGATATTAATATTTATGCCGGTCGTATGTCAATAATATTAAAAGTGAAATCTGGGATATTTTGCAAGTAATTGCTTGTTAGTTATTCTTGCCATTTTTACATATATGGAATTTTATTTTGACATAAAATAAGCATTAGTTAGTCTTGGCAAATTCTACAAACCTTTGATTCAAATTTTTGAAATTTATTTATCTTTTATATCTGAAGTTTATTTTCTGCTCTAATTTCAATAAGTCCTGTGTATGGAAAGAATTGGTCTGATGGTCTCTGAACTCTCCATTTCCATTGATACTTTGCATGGATTGGATTCCAATAGTATTTATTTATTTATTTATTTTATTATTATTATTATTTTATATATATACAATAGGATTATTTGAATTCATCATGTCAAGAGTTATATATTAGAATTTTATTATTAGAAAATTGATAATTCCATTTCTTTGGTTACGTGATACTTCTTGGGGATGTGATTCATAATCTTAACCATTTTTGCTTCAATAAAATTGGTGGTCCGTATTGACATTGTAATTTTGGGGGGTTCATAAGGCATAATATAAGTATATAATTTTCCAGGAAACAGTAATTTTAATAGTACCTCAAAATGTAAAATTTCAATTGTCTAATTCTGCAGCTTCCTGCTTAGTGTAAGTGTGCAAGAACAAGGGGGTATGTGACATACTCCAAATATTTAGAATAAATCTTATTAGAGTTGCAAGAGTGAATAGGATTAATTTTTGTGTTCTATATTACTTAATGTACTCCTAAGTCTTGGCAGATAACAGTATAAATTAGATACAGACTTTGTGATGCAAACCTCCAAGGGATATGTACCTGCATTAAGTTTGGAAAGCATTGCTCTAAATCATCAAGCTAGAGGTAAGCTTAATAGACTTTATTAATCAAGAAATTCTTGACCCTGATTTTTCTTTGTGATTGTTTTGGCAAGCTTCAGGTGTAATTTTTCATTTGTTGATACCTATTGTTTTTTTTAGTGTCTTGTTATAGAATCCTGTCATGACTCATTTCACTTTGAATGTAGTTTTAACATTTTTATTTCATAGTTCTTGATGCTTAATACTCAATTCATATAGATCAGATAGCAACAACAGTTACTGAAGATGGAAATTCATTCCAAAAATTGTAAACTAAATCTCAGGCCAGCATTTTTTAGTTTTATACAAGAAGGGGAATATTTTAGATTTGGTGTTTATTTAATATAGCCTCAGATATATTATGCATCAACTTTGATAACTTCCACATTTATCAGCTGTTAACAGCTACAAAAGTCGAGGAATGTCATACAGGTTCATGAATCTTTTCAGGCATATGTTTGTAGAGTTAGTTACTGCCCATTCATCTAGATGGGGCTTAATAGTAGGAGTGACAAGGTGCAATATTGTGCATAAAAATGGAGTAGGTGGTCAAGTCAGAAGTACTTTGGTTCAATGTGTTTTTATTTTTTATTGAAGGGACCCTCCTGTCTTGATTCCCGAGGGTCTGCCTGGGATATGCTTTTGTGAAAGATATTTTGGGGAAATTTGTGCCAGGATATTGTGAGGGAAATTGACTTCAAATTTTGGGGTAGAGGAAAATAATTGATCATTTCACCATCATTGCTAATGAAAAAAATATACATTAGTGCTATCATTTTAAAGCATAGGAATTAGAATCCAAAAATATTATAGCTAAGGTCGAGTGCAGCCCTAGGGTTCAAAAGGTCATGCCGGAGTTGAAAACATAATTATCCCATGATGGCGAAACAATTAGAGATAATTGAACACTACCTATGATCATTTTGAGAGGGCTATGTGTGGCTTATCCGGATTAAGGAAATCATGGATAAAGTTATATGAATTATATGTAATTATCCATATAGTTTAATTCCAGTACTTTTATCATTGGTAATTACAATGTTACCACATATTTTTACCTGTTTTACCTCTAAGTTTGAAATGCTGTAAACTAGGTTATGACAGTAAGATTACTTCCATGAAAGAAGTGTTCTACAGGTTAACATATACGTTACGATGACAATAT